CCCCGCCACTGCCTGGGGACAGGTGTGTGCCCCACTGCCACCATTGGACCCTGGCTCTGCTGCCCAGGCACCCCATAGCCATGCACCCGGCACCTGCTGCTCCATAGAGACTGGCCCTGGACCCCCATGGGCAGAGCGCGCTCAGCCGGGTGGGTGGGATGGGGCCGCAGGCAGGTGGGAAGCAATGTCTAGGAGCAGGATGGGTGGGCAGAGGCCAGGGCTGGGATCATGGGGCGGTGACTGTGCTCAGGGCAGAGCCACAATCCACTCCCCCAGCTCATCCCTGTGCTGGGCACCAGTTCCCTGCCCTGCACGTCCCTGGGGAACCAGCACCCCTTGCAGGGATGAGCGGGGAGCAGATCGCAGCTCCAGCCCAGGCCCCAGCCCCACGCTGTCACCACCCCGCGGCCCCTTCCCATCCATCTTTGTCCTTGGCTCTAACTTCTCCCAGATCCCAGCTGGTGTAAATCAGCTTTACTTCCCGGGTGTCAGTGGCACAGCCCGGATTTCCACCTGCAAAGGAGCAACCCCTGACATCTCTCCACGTTTTCTCTTTGGCCTCACTGCTGCTCGCGACGCCGCCGGATTCAGGGTGATCTGCAGATTGAACAGATGCGACGTCTGCGCTGACTTCCACCTCGTTAATGAGGATGTTAAATAGGACCAGACATCAGCCCCGACCAAACCCGCCTGTCTCTCCCTCGCTTTGCTCCATTGCCACATAGCATTACCCTTTCTTTCTGGCCTCCCGGGCAGTTTTCCATCCACGCGACAGCGCTCCGATTCCCACCGGCTTTCATTAGCTTCTGAGGAAGGATTTGCGAGTCGCGCGGCGCAGCGTTTTACCCCAGATCTGAATCTGTCGTGTTGGCCGGCTCCCTGTCATCCGCTGCATTTGTAGTGCCGTCGAGCAGATGATCAGGGCTGTCGGGCTGGATTTACACCTCAAACCTGTCAGCGTTGCCTCTCGCGCTGTGTCTGTATTACCCGGCTACTTGGGATTTTCTTTTCTCCTTGCTGTGGACTTGTCAGGGTCCATTGCTTTCCCCCGTCTTCCAGGCTGTTCCCCTTTGCTTGTGACTTCTCACCTGGACTTGCTGGTAGGGCAGTGGGTTGTACTGCTCCCCTCGGCCGGGGGGTTGGTGGACGTTCATGCTTTCTAGAGATTTCCTTCCCCTAATGCTCATCCTAATTGCTCTGGGTTTTCCATGGCATTGAGGAAAAGGGCCCAGCGTCTCTGCCCTTACCAAGTCATCCATCCCAGCACTCTTCCCGCTTACTGACAGCTCAGGTTTCCCCCAAGCGTCTCTGGATCCCAGCCACAGCTGCAAATGTTCTTCATGCTCCCTTTAATGCCCTGGGCTTGTCTTAACCTCTGCAGCTGTGGGTTTGGTTGTTTTTTTTCCCCCTGGTATTCTTTTTTTCCACAAACTGAATGGACTCTTGTGTTTTCTGACCATGCTTTGCCCTTTTGCATTTACACTCTGCCTGCATGTGTGTGGCAGAAATGCCACCGTCTGTGTCTCTCCAGAAATCTGTCCCGGTCAGCTTGGGACACTGGGGGCGAATTCCTGAGGGGGGAGGGATTTTCCTCCCTGCCTACGTGACAAAAGCCTGGTGCTGAGAGTGTGGTCCCTCTGGTCACCTGAGTGGGGGAGGGAAAAGCCCCTGCACATCTGCCCAGGTAACCAGTGATGCTTTTTAAATTGGTTGGCTAGGAGGCCGCTTAGGAGAGACACATGGAGTCTGGAAGGTGGACAGGCGTAGTGAGGTGGGAGGTTAGTCGGGGGAGCTCCCATGTTGAGCCTCCCACCTCCTTACGCCCGTCCGCCTTCCAAACTCCACGCGTCTCCCCAGGGGCGCCTAAGCCCTGGCAGACCCCCTTTCAAGCCCCACCGCAGAGTCTGGGGGGTAATGTGTGCTGCCACCACCCCGAGAAGGAACTGTCTGGGTCCTGTGTCCTCGGGGAAACACAGGCCTAATAGTCCTATGGGTACTCAACCCAAAACAAGCACTTGGGGCACCCCCCCAAGTCAGGGGCCAAAAAGGATGGTCTCCCTTAGTCCGCAGACCTAAGGGGCCTCCTAGGCATAATTAAACCCACCCCTCAATAAGTCTCCCACACTAGGTACAAAGGAGAACTTTGTTGGTTACAAAGGGTAGGGTTACAATAGGGTAAGAGGTAGAGCACTATCAAGGGATTCTCATTGAGCAAAACAGATTGGCTGAGGTCGCTGTTTGATACGCAGATGCATCACTGGGAGCTGCCTAGCCCTCTAGAAACACAAGTATCATCCAGAAGATGGTAGAGATCTGGCTCGGAGATTTCCAGAGAGAGAGCGTTTCAGTTGGGTCAGACTCTCTCCCTGTGTCCTGGTGTTTGGGCCGTGCTGGTAAAATGGTTTCTCTCCTCCTTCTTCTTGGACAAGGCCCTTATACAGCCTTTCTGACCTCAGCAGCCCAGTCCAAGAGAAGCCAGCAGTGTTGGCAACTAGCCAACCAATTTAAAAAGCATCACTGGTTACCTGGGCAGGTGAGATGGGGCTTTTCCCTCCCCCACTCAGGTGACCAGAGGGACCCCCCCTGCTCGGCACCAGGCGTTTATCACGTAGGCAGGGAGGAAAATCCCCCCTCCCTCAGGAATTCAACCCCAGTGTCCCAAGCTGACCGGGACAGGTTTCTGGAGGGAGACACAGACGGTGGCATTTCTGCCACACATGTGTACATGCAGATGTGTATGTGTGCATATGTTTGTGGACTGACTTGGGACTAACTTTAGTGTTAATGCGCTTTAATGCCTGCTTACTGCTCAGTAATTTACTGCGCAGTAAATTTAAGCCGGTGTAAATGCACGTATAGACACGCTGTGTGGTGAGGAGCTTGTGAGGCAGATGGATGTTTCACAGTGATCTTTTCCCACCCAGAAGGCTTTGCTGGTTATGGAAACAAGCCCCAAGTTGAAGGCTGGATGTCTGTTTTTCTCTAAAATCTCCTTGTCAGCTCCAGGGATGGATGCAGATCGTCCTGCGCAGGTTGGACCCTGGGAAGGGCATTTGTAGGCAGTTTTAGCCACGGTGAAGTTGAGAGGCGGTAGGGTCTTATTTGCTTCCACTGAGGCACTTCTATCCACTGGGCGCAGGAGTGTGTCCTCTCTTATACTGGTGTAAACTGGGTGTTAGCCCAGTCTGCATCCTCCAAAGTGTCGGTGCTAGGCGGGGGCTGTGACCTGGCAATGTTTGCATCACAACTCTGGGCAAATCTGATGTCACTGGGTGCACATTGTGACATGTGAGGGTGTGACATGATGTAGCCACTTAGGTCCTGGTGTAAGGAGGCTGGCATGGCATGGCAACAGTGATTCATGTGTCAGCAGGGCGGTGGGTTTGCCCGTGTCTG